TTATACATGGGTAGTACTAATTCTATATCTATATAAATGTTTTTAATTCTTTTATTTATGTTATGAGTTAAAAGTGTAACTCTAGAAATCAATAACGACATCTGTATGTAAAATAATACCCTGGAATACGATAATCGGTTTGTTGAACTTACAACGAACTTGCAATGATGAAGAGTTCTGGGCCTTCTATGATGCATAATATCATAAATTTGTTACCGGTACCTAAAATTTCTTGTATCTTGTATCTTGTGTTTTGTAATTATTTGTTACATAAAATTTCTTGTACCATAATAGGTTAAAAAATAAATGCTAAAATTCCTTTATAATACAAAAAACAAGTACCTAAATGTAAACAAAAATTTGAATTAAAAAATTAAAACAAAAGATTTTTTTTTCCCCTGAAAGTTTAGGCCAAAAACGTGGGTGTGCGTTATACACAGGAGCCATTATACACAAAAAATATGGTAACACAAAGACAATACGCACCCTAGGCTAAACACTGAAGGCAGTACAAATTTCAGATCTTTTAGAAAAGTTGATTAAATTTTTCCAAGCTAGGAAAGATTTGTGTGACTGACTCATGCATTACAAACTTCCACCACTCAGGCAAAACTGTGGTGGGCGAGGAATCAGAATATAATAAAACACTGATTATATGATGTGGACAATAACTGTAAAAGGAATCCGACAAGCAGAAGGTCAGGTCAACAGACACACTAGCGCAACGTGCAAGACAGGGCTTCAAGGAGGACGTGGGGCTTGACTGGGCTTAGGTGGGTGGGCAGGGTAAGAAGACAAAAAACAAAGGAAGGGACAAGCAGGCATGGTGACAAGAAGGACAAGGCCCAAGGGCAGGAAATATGGAGTTCAGGTAGAAGGTGAAAACTTGGATGAACGAGACTATGAAAGGCCTTTGAANAGGAAGAATGATCATCATCCCCATTTTATAGATGAGAAAACCAAGGCACAGAAAAATTAAGTAACTTGTTCACAGCGACACAGTAAGTGATAGACCTGGGACTCGAACCCAGGCGGTTTGTCTCCAGAGCCCACTTTCTTATCTACCATGTCACACCGGCTCTGTCACATGGACCTCTCTTCGAATACTGTTCAATTTTATAACATCTTTATATTGCACATAAAACACATTAGAAACTTTTAAAAATAACTTTGTTATGGAGCCACTAGTGTTCTTTGATTTTTTTTTTAAACAAAGCATGTAATTGATCTTTTTAAGTCAGTATATGTTACCAAAAAAGCTATACATCTGTATCCAGAATCCAGAATTCAGAACAGGAAGTCTATGTTCACCTCAAGCTCCCCTGAGGGCTAATAAAATATATTTTTTCATATTCAAGATGTGTTCATCACCTCTGTCCTTTAATTACTTCATAACCATGAGATGGGGACAATAGGGAGCCAAAGCTTTCACACAGAGTGGGAGACAGTGTGAATGGTTAAATGAGTGATCTGAGGATAGGACCCATCCATGTGCAGGGACGGGATTGAACCCTTAGCTTCTCTGCTGGGCTGGGGCGGTAGCAGGTTACGGTGCCTCTGGGCCAGGTCTCCCCACGGCAAGGATACACTGCTTTGGGGAGCACTTAATTTCCTCTCCCGGGGGTGTGGTGCTGGTCATCTTCTCGGCATTGGGGAACTGGGTCAGCAACCTCAGGCTGAAGTCTTCTCGTCTCTCATACTCCTTCCCCCGGTAGATGAAGATTTTATTCTGCAGGTCAGAGACACCAAGGGGAATCATTAAATGAAGAGTGGAAGGGCAACTGGAGAGATCTGGGTACTGAGGAAGCCACTGTACTCCCCAAAGTGCAATGAGCCGTCACATTCTCATTGAATCCCTACTAGGTGCTCCACAGCAACCATCCTATCTGATAAGAGCTCCTGGTTTATGTGGGGAGTTAAGTCATATCACAGGCAGTCCATGCAATGCTTCTCACCGGGTGGCCCAATGACCACAGTTGGTATAGTCTACACCGACTCACAGAAAGGTAAGGCGTGTGTGCCCTAACGTAGATCCATGGCATTGCCGGGAATGCTGTTTAGGTTAGCTGGTACTTTTCACAGCAAGACATTCTCAATGAAGGGAGGAAGCGCATTAATTTATATCCAGCAAGGTCATCTCTTCATGACCCAGTAACAGTCTGTGGAGCAGTGCTTTGCTGGCACAGCCTTCGGGAACATGAAAGTACAAAGGGAATCAAGACAGCACGTCTTCCGACACAGTGATGTGATAACAGAGACAGGAATAAGTTACAGCAGTCCCTCGCCAATCCTGAAAATCACTGTGGATAGCTCCGTCCCAGTCTCATAGAAAATTACTGCACAAAATATTATTCTCTCCATTGCCAACTGCAGGTTTTTACCTCTTTAATAAAATTAATAAAATTGGATTTTTTTTAAAAAAAGGAAGTTTCTAGGCCCCAAGCATAGGAGTAGTTTGTTACATATTTCTCCTTCATTACTCAGACAAATACTTAGCATTGGCAGCCCACACATGATCCATTTTTAACTAAAACTTGGGCTTGTGGTGTTCTGTAAAATGTTTTTTAAAATCACTTTTCCATTCATAGAACAGATAACGTATTGAGCAAACAACAGATATGCTAGACACTAAGATATACTACTAACCCCTACTCTCATAAATCTTATCTTCTAGTGGAGAGAAATAGAAGATGAACAAGTAAACAAGTCAATCCATAATTTCAGACAGTATAAGTGCCATATTTTGCCATGTATAA